GCTTAGTATTTGAGCCCTTTGACTTGTCTTGCACCACCATGTAAAGATTATTGACATTTCCTAAAATTTATTTATAGTTGAGTTGTATTAGAATTTATCAAATATCTTTATGGTGCTTTCTTTTAAACTTTTTAAATCACCATTCTCTTCTTACTTTTCTAAGTTTAGCCATGTAATTTTAGTCATTTGTATTTCCTATGTCCCAGTTTCTTACATTCTAAATAAATAATGTTAAGATTAGATTTCAATTTTGATTTTGTTTTTTCTTAACCTTTCTTCTATCATTAATTTTTTTTTAATAGGAAGGAGTTTAACTTCTTTATCTATAGAGAAAAAAATTAATGTTGGCGCTTTCTTCTAACCATTTTCTGAATCATCAACTTTCAATGCTATCTTCTTCTCTTTCTGAGTGTCTTCTTCTCTTTCTTTTCCTCGAAGTATCTATTGTTCTTTGTTTTTTTTTCTATTTATATGCAATAAGAGAGCCAAGTAGTAGGTCAATAGAAGAGGCATATAAATTATTTAGTTCTAATATTGTTGTGAATTTGGCATCTCCAAACTTAGGAGCGTATACAATTGAAAATCTTTTTTTTGAAGCAAAACCTTTGATGAATCTAGATAGCCTATAAAAAGAAGCTTTGATTCATTAAATATGAAAATTTTCACAATCATGAATGAGAATGACAATCCATAATAGCTTGAATTTATCAATCCCCTTATATATAACACCCAACCTAACAAAATTTTGTTTTACCATAGTTTAACTAAAAAACTTCATATAGTAATTAAAATTTAAAGAGAAAAAATAAAAATTTCAAATTGTTAGAATTTAACTAAGCTAATTTCTTTTCCTTAAGTTCCTCTCTATCAACTGTAGGATTAATGGATTTTGTTTTTTAAATTTGGTGAGGTGGTAAATAAATAACTTGGACAAAGTTACACATCATAAGTAATTGTACAAAAACAATCATGCAATTATTTCAAAAATTTAAAAGAATACAATTAAATAATGATAGTTAAGTAATAGAATTTTCTTTCAATCTTGCTCCCATATTAAGGGAATGCGATGTGTAAGGATCTACATATTAATTAAC